ATGTTTCATGTAGTGATCTAATCCCTTACATAGTTCTCTAATCTCTCTTATAGTGCTGTAATCCCTTATTATAGAGCTGTAATCCCTTATATAGTGCTCTACTCCCATATGTACTGCCCTTATCCCTTATATATAGTATTCGAAACCCCTTACTAATGGAGTAACTGTTGTTTGTGGTGGTCTAGTTTACGGAAACTGAAACACAGAAAACAAAACGAAATTCGCTGGTGTGGGTCATCCTGGACCAGACTTCGAGACGATACCTCAGATTAAAAGAGACTCTCACCCTTCCCCAGGCGCTGATTGACTCTTAAGTGTGTAACGCTTTTCTGTGAATACAATAAAAATAATCATCTACCCATGACCAACAAACAATCATCTACCCATGACCAACAAACAATCATCTACCCATGACCAACAAACAATCATCTACCCATGACCAACAAACTAGAAATATGTTCATTTTCTACGAGAGTTCTCTGAATTCTCCCATAAACGCTGCCTCGCACTGCTAACACAAACAACAGGAAACTAGAAAACAGTATGATTGGCTGTGGAATGATGCTATTGACTATTGTAGAAGAATGGAGCATTAATAAGTCTTTTTTTCTTGCAACGTTTCGCTCTGTGTAGAGTTTAGCAGGTCATGAGTTAAGGAAAAGTTACAATACCGTGACTGGAACAATACACAAATAACCCGTATATAGAACATTAAAATGGTATAAAATACCGACAGGTTGTTAGGTAAGACACATATGCAGTAATAGTTATAAAGAAGTTAGACCGAAACGTCGTCAAAAGACTCTCTCCTATGTGCGGGTTGTGTAGTTTGTCATGAGTCGATAAAGTATCAAGTCGTGACCTGATATAGATTTCCTATACATTTTGTATATTTACCACAGGTAACAAGAAGCAAAAATTCTTCTGTTTTGACGTCTGAGTGTTGGTAGTAATGACTGGTTACCTTGACGTCATTCTTCATTACTGGTAAGAAGGCTGCAAGGCTCCTTGACTTAGCTTCTTGGAATTGGGATCTGTCGTCTTCACGGGGATTATTATTGACGTAATTTATTGATAAATGAGCATAATTTAAAGTGTAATTATCCGTAGCTTGATTGCTAGCGGACTCGGATCACACCTTGAGGTCCGGGGTTGGATCCCCCTTACGTAAGGAAACATTAGGACGTGTTTGAGACACCTGGTGTCTCTGTTCACCCGTCAGTAAAATAGGTATCTGGGTGTTAGTCGACTGGTGTGGGGTCGCATCCTGGGGACAAAATTGACCTAATTTGCCCGAAATGTTCCACAAAACAATTGGCTTTCTCTACAGTATGTCATTGATGTCAGCTATGGTCTGTATACCTTGAACATGTTGAAATAATGATTATTATTATACGACAGAATCGAGTAAGCTATAAGTGAAGACAATATTTATGTTTACAAATGAGAGAGAGAGAGAGAGAGAGAGAGAGAGAGAGAGAGAGAAGAGAGAGAGAGAGAGAGAGAGAGAGAGAGAGAGAGAGAGAGAGAATCAACATACACATGATCTTAGATCAACATACACATGATCTTAGATCAACATACATAGATCAACTAATCTCTGGTCTGTTCCTGCTGCCACTGACAAGTGTTCGTAAACACCTTAGTGTTGTATCCTGTGATCTGTACATCCACTCACAAATTCTATAGTAAATAGAATAGCTGCTTGAGTGACGGAGGATTGGATTTGAAAAGGACCTGCCAAGTATGAGCCAGTAGGCCTGCTATAGTGCTATTCCATTACGAACAAATTGTAGAATACGTTTGCTATACACCAGTCTGTCTCTCTATCTCTCTGTCTGTCTATCTCTCAGCAATTGTCTATTGTACTAGTCATACCACACTCTTCTCTGTATATATTTCTAGTAGTTTCCCCAGGGATCTTTGTAAGAATTTGCATCCCTGAGATGAGGATGCTGAATCGCTGAGTTGAGAGCACCGATACGCAGCATCCAATTAACTCTTAAGATCATTTCTTCAGAAGTGTTTGTTTATTAGAAGATAAGGCGGAGGCGAACCGGATTATCTGTGTGTGTGTGTGTGTGTGTGTGTGTGTGTGTGTGTCAGCGCGCGCGAGCGTCCTTAACCATCAGAAACATATTAATCTATACTGATTACGACCACTGGACCATAAATCAAAACTTCAAAATATCTCGCCACTTTTCCATTTTTTTTTCTATTTTAAGTGACCAGGTACCCTGGCGATCTCTTTTTTATCCTCATTACATTTATGAGTAAAAAATAACGCAATTACGCAATCAAATTATTTATTGACAATTATCTTTAATGGTTTAATTATCTGAAACAAGAAGGCAATTAAGGATCATCTTTTTTTTCCTTTTAAAAAAATGCTGAAATTAAAAGTTAATTTACATTACAAAAAACTTGAGGACTTATAAAGTCCTCAAGTTCTTTGTGACATTCGAGTACAAACAGAATAATTAATTTTTCTTTGACGTTTTCCAGTAATCATGGATCAAATTAACCGTGAATTGCGTTTTCTTTCTCGACGTTTTTTTTTCAGGTACAGGAATTGTGTTTTGCTGGTGGTGGCTTGTCTTGATGTGTGATTTGTGTATTTGTTTTAGTAGTTGTAGTGTTGTTGGTTGTAGCCTTGTAGTTTTAGTGGTCGTGTCTTGTTAGTTGTTGATTGAAAATGAGTACGACAGATTTTTTTTTGTTAATGGGTCTGGTTTTGAGGACTTGCCTATTATGGGCCAGTGGGTTTGCTGCAGTGTTCTTTATATTCTTACGCACACCTTCAAAACAATAAATTCTTGGGTAATCTACGTACACAAAATTCATCGTTGTCGTGTTGATATTGAGACAATATGAGGGTTAATGGTATTTTTTATTAAGAGTTTGTTCTTCCACCAGGGAATTAATTCACACGAGACGAGAAAGATAAGATTACATTAGTGGGTGAGGCGAGGTTCACGAGGCGAGGTTCACGAGGCGAGGTTCACGAGGCGAGGTCCGTGAAGTAGACAGATGGTATCAGTGTCTGTGTCCGTGATTTTGGGGAAAATAATGAATCTACCTAAAACCGACTTTGCTCTCCCTTGATCCCTTACTCCACATCGCGTACCTGACATGGTTGCACCTCACGGACCGCACCTCACGGACCGCACCTCACGGACCGCACCTCACGGACCGCACCTCACGGACCGCACCTCACGGACCGCACCTCACGGACCGCACCTCACGGACCGCACCTCAAAGTACTCGCTTTAATCATGTCCTTGCGGTCAATATTTTCGACACTTTCCTTGTGATACTTATGTAAACACAGGTCGTGAAAATATCGCCACATCAAGTAAACACCAGCAGCACTGACTGACCCACACGGTTTTAGCGCTTTCCATGAGCAATAATATTATTAATAATTAATACCAGTACTAGTATTAGTTTAATAATGAAGCGCTAAACCCGGAAAGGTCAAACAGGCAAGATTTTAATAATAGTAAATCAGTTTCAACTGGGGAATTAAAGAAGAATCCTTTTTAATTCAGTAGGGTCTTAAGTGCATGGGTTTAACATAAATTATAATGACCTTTACGTAGTCTGACAAGACAGGTCATAATGTCCTATGTAAAGAACGGTAAATGGAACAGCGTGTAACTACGTCGATGGGGCAGCCATGAGAGTGGAATAGCAGCTGTAGGAATGGTCAGTTTTGGAGATATGCGTCAGTTCACTGACATAGGGACTTTATCACCCGAAATGGAGCTTTATAAAGTCTCCCAAACTGTGTAAAGCTGTGAGTCAGACCTGACTAACTTGGACAGTAGGCCTACAGACGCACTCTGTCTTAAGTGGTTTTAACGTGGACCTGCCTAGCATGGGACAGTGGGCCTTCTGCAGTGCTTATGTTCTAATCGACTTTCACTGTTTAATAACTAAAGAAGTGCTCTGTTTTAATGGTCTTCTATATATTCACACTGAGGAAGTATTAATCACATGTAAGGCGTTACTGCTAAGGTTAAAAATATTCTCGAAAATAAAATAGAATATTGAGCGGAGAGTGAAAGGCCACTAAGTTTAAAACTGCATAAAATAGAGTATATTGTCACTAAGCTATTTCTATCTTATTAAAATCTAGGCTAAAGTTTGTGAAAGAAAATCTTTAGCTGTAACTACAGGACTTAAGGTTATAGGGAAAAAGATAATCCGATACAGGGTTATGGAGGACGAAATAAATAATCTGATATAGGGTTACAGGGGACGAGATAATCTGATTTAGAGTTATAGGAGAAGAGATAATCTAATAGAGGGTGGTCACGAGATATATTTTGGCCTAAATGATTATACTGCTTCCAAAATTTTCCAACTTGCCATAAACCCAATAGAACAACTTGGCAACGTTAGAGACACAATCATAATATTTTAGTGTCTGAGGCGCATTGGAAAGTTTTGTTAAAGGCCATAATAGTGGTGTGCCCCCTCCCCTCCATAAAAAATTATTGATTTATATGTTTTGGAATCATATATATTGAATTTTTTTTTTTTTGAATGATACTGAGGAAAGATGGAGACCGGAAATGTTTGCGGTCTTGTACACGCTAAATACAATAATCATTTTTTGGATAGAAAACGTACAAGATTATGAACAAGACAGTTATATAACTCTTGGGGATCATCATTCCGGGAACGTTTCGCCAGTCACTGGCTTCGGTTCCACTGTTTCTCTGCACTGGACTGAGGAAGTCACTGGCTCAGTGAAGCTTCTCCAGAATAAAGGCGTCCAGGTTTTGCACAAGTCTTGTAAATTACAGTAGTTGGCATGTAAACTCTCTCTCTCTCTCTCTCTTCTCTTTCTCTCTCTCTCTCTCACTCTCTCTCTCTCTCACCCTCTCTCCCTCCAAGACTGTAATATACTCGCGTTGATGACAACCTGCATCAACCCAGCATCACAACTCTTGAAGAATCTCATTCTCAAATAATCCACATTATATTACACTAAAACCAAAACACGAGTCGATTGCAACTTTTTTTTTTTAAGTTTGGCGAAGAAGAGGTAACGGTTCGTGAACTAACTGTAACAGTTGTGATGTGTTAGGCATTAGGGTAAGACTCGTCAGGACGTGACAGATGGCTCCTGACCTGCGTCAGGAGCCATCTGAAACACATGTTTAAGATACCAGGTGTTGCAGCTGAACTAGAAATTGAGGAAGGATTTGCGACTTTGAACCCGTGTCACTGGCTAGAACTGCGTCCATCTGGTCAAAGACAAGTTGTGTTGATATCTTTTCGATCTTGGTTTAACGATAGTCATCCGACTAAGGGCTTAACACTGGTATTAGTTTGAGCGAGCCTTTGAGATGTTTGGGGTCACTTGACTGTAGGTTCTGCTGTTTCTGTCGGTAAGGTCAAAGGTCAGAGTGATGAGGTGATGGATGAATGTCGATCTGATGGATTCCCTGTCACACGGTTGATGAAATGGAGTATATAACTGGAGCAGTGCTCCCTATGTTCCGGGAACACTGCCCGTGGTGTGTTGCGGAAACTGTTCAGTGTTGTATTGCGGGTACTATCCGGTGTTGTGTTGCAGGAACAGTCCAGGTTTTTTTTTTCTTTCCAAAGAACCAGGACGTCTCAGAAAGTATCGTCCACCTTCCCAGCTCTGAGCCTGGGTTCCCCAGCTGCCTCGTCTTCTCTCCAAGCCTCCACAAGTCAACACTGGCTCTCTCTGGTTTTCTCTTTGAGGTTCTTACTGCCAGGAGATGACCAGAGAATCCTCCACACACCAGTCAAAGTCGAGCTTGGTGACCGTGAAAGCTCCTGTGTCGTCCTCTCTGGTGAAGCTGTGTTTCTTACCGTTCACAACCACCTGTAGTAGTGCAGCTATTATTAATTATTGTTATTAATAATACTATTTCTCATTGGTTATTATTTAGGGTGATCCTGATAATAAAATGCATTCACTGTCGGCTACGGCTACTACCCCACTACTTCTGCTATTGCTACTACCACTACTATTGTTTCTCTTCACTCTTCATGTCCCTTTCTACCTCTTGTGCCACTAAAACTATTCTCCCTACTTTCTACTACCACTACTGCTGCTTCCACTACCATCCTTACCACTGTTTTTTCTTCCTCTCTTTATCCCTGTCCCCCTCGCCTATATATACTGGCTCCCCAATTCTTTTGAGTTAGCGTGACTTGTAAATGGTCCAAGTCGGACCGAAACGTCGTCGTAAGTTTCTCCTGTGTGTAGGTTATTTGTGTATTCATTATCATTCATTTAGTAACTGTCTTGCGAGATGTGAGCAGACATTCACAATCCAGCATCATTCTAGCTTCGGAATGCAGACACTGTACTACCCACCTTCAGGATTCTAGTACGGCTAACCGGTTACCTAATTCCTTTCCTAAGCGTTACCTTGCTATACTCCAACAGCACGACAACACCTGAAAATATCTCGTCTTTACCATGAGCTAACGCGTATACGCAAGCTTGCTGGTTCTTGCCTCTAGTACTTAGAACCTCCTTCACCATCCTCCATCCAACCCTTCCTGGAATGAATCCTGTGCCTCCTGCCTTTCACCCCAGATTTATATTCATTCTTTGCCATTTAATTCTGCTCTACCTTTTCTAAATGGCCAAACTACTACAAATCCTCATCCAGCCTTTGAATTACATTTGTAACCTTTCATTTCTAATTAAGGTGCTATTAAATCTTTGCAAATATACACCCCACACATGGCTCTCAAACATAGCATCCACACTGATTCCAGCCTCTACCTCACTGCAATGTTTAAAGCCCATGCCTCACACCCATGTAAGAGTGTTGATGCCACTATAATCCTTTCGCCTCATAGGTTATCTTGCTTTCCCCAGATGCCTCAGCATATCACCTACCCTCTTCCACTCGTCTGTTTTATATTCTCATCTTTCATAGATCCATCTGCTGACACCTTTCACAGACCCACCTGCTGACACGGTCTCTCAGATATCTAAATCCTCTACACTCTGGTATCCAGAACTTTCTTAACTATTTGTTACTCTCCTCACATCTTAACAAGTAATGGTAACAGAGAAAACTGTCAAGACCTGGCCAGTCTGTTAGCCACATGCAAATAAGCCTTTAATGACTGTATACAAACACACACACACACACACACACACACACACACACACACACACACACACACACACACACACACACACACACACACACACACACACACACATCCAGCCACACCCACACACTATACCACTTACATTATTCACTTGTGGAGCACCAAACACCCTGGCGGAAGTTATCAGTGTGGAGATGTTGTGACTGCTGCCACAGATGCCGTTGCCTCCCAGGCTCGAGGGAGTCGAGTCACGGTCAGTTCACTGTTTTCTCGTACCAGCATCTGCAGGTGGTCTGCCGGAGGCTCTTGTTCCAGAGGTGTCGCTCCATCATCCACATATAACCTGCCTGTGGCTCAGAAAATGATGAATCTTCAGGTGCAACCAAATCATCTGCCTCAGTTATCAGAGTTATCGAGTCTGTGGAGCTGAACACGAGTCAAGGCTGAAAGACTGGGTACTAGTCAAGAGTGAGGGACTGGGTACTAGTCAAGAGTGAGGGACTGGGTACTAGTCAAGAGTGAGGGACTGGGTACTAGTCAAGAGTGAGGGACTGGGTACTAGTCAAGAGTGAGGGACTGGGTACTAGTCAAGAGTGAGGGACTGGGTACTAGTCAAGAGTGAGGGACTGGGTACTAGTCAAGAGTGAGGGACTGGGAACTAGTCAAGAGTGAGGGACTGGGAACTAGTCAAGAGTGAGGGACTGGGTACTAGTCAAGAGTGAGGGACTGGGTACTAGTCAAGAGTGAGGGACTGGGTACTAGTCAAGAGTGAGGGACTGGGTACTAGTCAAGAGTGAGGGACTGGGTACTAGTCAAGAGTGAGGGACTGGGTACTAGTCAAGAGTGAGGGACTGGGTACTAGTCAAGAGTGAGGGACTGAACACCTCAAATTACCTCCTCACGTGACTAAAGTGGCTTTATTACGCAATAAATCTGCGTAATTACCCGGCTCAGAGAACTCTGGCAATTTTCCTCATCAGAATATAGGTCAGGGGGCTATTATGTTCATGGGTGGAGGGCGGGGGGGGGGGGTTGAAGCGGTAAATCCGTAGGGAAGAGGAGTCATGCAGCCCCCGGGGGGACTAAGGAGACAATAAGGTTAGACCCAGAGGATGGATGAGGTAGCTCCAGTTCTTAGGATCAAGATCCCTTCGATAGTACTGCTGAATGAACCATACGGGTTTAGCGCTCTTGTGTAGCCTAAATTCCGTTGTATGCATATTTTTTCCATGTATTTAAAAAAAATCTACGGTCAGAAATTTCTGGAAAAATCACGAATTTATATATATATATATCTATCTATGCAAATTATAAATCTGGAGTTAGAATTTTGGAAAAAAACGGAAGACGAAGAGGTAAACCCGTATGGATCAGACACGGAGGTGTCAAGGCTCGATCCTTCGTTCGTTCAGTGGCCAACCTTCCCGACAGAAGTTTCTTTTAACTGAAGGTGAACGTTTTATGAAAGGGCGCCGCCCGGGATACCGGTGAAGAAGCCGTGATCCAAGGAACCAGAGCAACTCTGCACTTGGGCCATACCTGATTGGCTCGATTTCCCCCTAAGGTTTTGCATAAGCCCCTACAGCTTTAGCGTTTACCCATATATCTCAAGTTTAATATTCACTGTTCACTTAACAGTGAAAAATTCTTTCCCCAGGCAGTGAAAAATTCTTACCAGAGTCACTGAATAACATTACGGACAGTAAAGTAACATTATATACAGTGAAATCCTATTAAACAGTGAAATAATTTTATAGGCAATAAAAATAATCATATAGGCAGTGAAATAATCTTACCAGAAGCAGTGGCACCGTCTGGCTCTGCTCCCTCGGTGTCATTTACCTGACAGGAGAGCGCCACCAACAGGTGTAGTGGTGCCGCTCTGAACTCTTCTGTTGTCATAACGGCATCCTGTTAAGAGGAGAGTCAGACTCTTACTGTTGTGTGTGTGTATGTGTTACCTATTACAAAATTATTCAGGCCTAATTTTGGTTATTAGCCAATTTTTACTGTAATTATTAAAAAGTTAAATAATAATAATGGTCAAATATAATAATTCGGGTCACAAGCGACTCACTTTACCTCAGTAAACCTCTTAAACTGTCGTATGTACTATGCAATGTTATGTATCTTGTAGGCCTTTCAAAAAATTCTGTCGTCTTTCTATGCTTTTGAAGTTTATTATTATTATTAATTATTATTATTATTTATTACTATTATATACATATATAAATTTCCCTGCCATATATTGCTAAAGATACACTTTGAACTAAGTGTCCAGGCGAGATATTATCTTTAATGGCCACTAATGAGACACTATTAAATAAGAAATAACGAGAGATTGAGAGAGAACGAGAGATTGAGAGAGAACGAGAGATTGAGAGAGAGAAACGAGAGATTATGAGAGAAACGAGAGATTAAGTGATAGAAACGAGAGAATGAGATATCGAGAGACTAAGAAAGGAGAGGCTATACAGAAAGTTTATGCATCTCGTGTAAGTTAGGATGATACATTATCGAAATGGGGGAAGCAAGTGTTCAGGTCTCTCTTGGAGGTCAAAGATCCTGGGTAATTTATGGTAATGCGAGAGTAGGCTATGCCAGCAGTATGTAAACAAGACAGAATTCGGGTTATGACATTTCACTGTGAGGAAGAAAATCGATATGATGCTTCAGCACTCTTTTGCAACATTACACCCTGCAGGTACAATGCACTGCTGTCAACACAACTAGCTGCATTGTTTCCAGTACCTTAGCAATAACCAATAATAGTCACCAATGCTTCATTTGAAGCCATAAAAGATTTATTCAAGGTAAGGAAGCCAATTAACACCGCTTGTGTATGTACCATACCATGTGGAGGCTGTGACAAAATTTATGTCGGTAAAACCTCCAGGGACCTAGACGCCAGAGTCGAAGAATATGGTGACGCATGCCTAAGCGACGATACTAAAGGTGTACACACACACACACACACACACACACACACACACACACACACACACACACACACACACACACACACACACACACACACACACACACACACACACACACACACACACACACGCTACATTACACTACACTACACTACACTACACAGAAACACTGAGAACTGCATCGTGAACTTCCCAGAATCAAGACTTGTCATCACAGTGAAAGTCGCAGCAGATTATATCTTCACTTCGTTGTTACAGATACAACGAATAACATCAATCAAGACTCAGGACACACGAACCTGTGAGTTTCAGGACTCGCTTCCCATGGGTTCAACCCTCCCCCTCCCCCCACCCGTTCCTGATTCAGGATCATTCATAACCTCACGAGGTTTAGCAAGGCTTATTCTCCCAATATGAGTACCTGCGATCACCTAATCTCACTCGGCTGGTGACTAGCATCAGCCTGCATGACCTCGTTGCCTCACCTCAGAACCTTTCTATAACCTACATAAATACGCATTTCGCTGGCGGGCGAAAAGTCTTTGCAATAAATTACCATAACCTTCATTCCGATTCTTATTTACTGACTTACTGGACTGTCAGAGGTCGCAGAGGGTCTGAAGGAGCCATTCAAATGATAAATCAGACTGTTAGGTCTAGTAGGGAGTTTTGAAGACTGCATATTCCAGGCATGACCAAGAGAGCTGTCAGGTCTAGCAGATAGAAAGCTGGCAACCTTTGATTGAAGAGGCAGCCATGTTCAAAGTCGTGATTTATATGGAAATTGAGAGAGGGTAAATCGACAGGAAGGTTGGGAGAGAGAGAAAAAAAATCATGGTATCTTCAGTATTACTTTTATCAATATTTTTCAAAGGTTTATCGTATCCCTTCTGCATTTTTTCTTTAACAGGTGTTATAATATATTTTTTTAACTTTGTGTGACTATACGTCTAGCTATCGTACCACTTATAACATGATGACCACTTACCTTGTGGTCATCATGTCGTTGCTGTTGTGGTCTTGATATGTCACGTCTGATGTGATCGCACCTTTAAATATCGTATTGTATTTGTGATTACCGTGTCACCTCTGTTGCTATATTATATGGTTGTCATATTTCTTTTGTGATCCTGTGGTTATTAGTGTCACTTGTATTGTGATCTTTCATATGTAGGTAGCCCACATATCAGGTTCAGGGGAGGACCTACATGTGGGTAGCCCACCTCATATCAGGTCCAGGGGAGGACCTACATATATGGGTAGCCCATCTTGATATCAGGTCCAGGGGAGGACCTACATGTGGGTAGCCCACCTCATATCAGGTCCAGGGGAGGACCTACATATATGGGTAGCCCATCTTGATATCAGGTCCAGGGGAGGACCTAGATATATGGGTAGCCCATCTTGATATCAGGTCCAGGGGAGGACCTACATGTGGGTAGCCCACCTCATATCAGGTCCAGGGGAGGACCTACATATATGGGTAGCCCATTTTGATATCAGGTCCAGGGGAGGACCTAGATATATGGGTAGCCCATCTTGATATCAGGTCCAGGGGAGGACCTACATGTGGGTAGCCCACCTCATATCAGGTCCAGGGAGGACCTACATATATGGGTAGCCCCTCTTGATATCAGGTCCAGGGAGGACCTAGATATATGGGTAGCCCATCTTGATATCAGGTCCAGGGAGGACCTAGATATATGGGTAGCCCATCTTGATATCAGGTCCAGGGGAGGACCTACATGTGGGTAGCCCACCTCATATCAGGTCCAGGGGAGGACCTACATATATGGGTACCCCATCTTGATATCAGGTCCAGGGGAGGACCTACATATATGGGTAGCCCATCTTGATATCAGGTCCAGGGGAGGACCTACATGTGGGTAGCCCACCTCATATCAGGTCCAGGGGAGGACCTACATGTGGGTAGCCCACCTCATATCAGGTTCAGGGGAGGACCTACATGTGGGTAGCCCACCTCATATCAGGTCCAGGGGAGGACCTACATATATGGGTAGCCCATCTTGATATCAGGTCCAGGGGAGGACCTACATATATGGGTAGCCCATCTTGATATCAGGTCCAGGGGAGAACCTACATGTGGGTAGCCCACCTCATATCAGGTCCAGGGGAGGACCTACATATATGGGTAGCCCATCTTGATATCAGGTCCAGGGGAGGACCTACATATATGGGTAGCCCATCTTGATATCAGGTCCAGGGGAGGACCTACATATGTGGGCAGCCCACCTCATATCAGGTCCAGACGGGGACTTACATACATAGGCTGAAAATCCCCCCCCCCCCCAGTCTAACATTTCAAAACACATGGCGTTCGACAAATTATTTTTCAACGAGTTTGACAGTTCATCAGGCAAAAATATTTTGAAAACGACATTGTTTATAGGGAGACAATCATAGGTTTATTAAGAAGAAACTCTTAAAATTGCTTAAAGCATTAGAAGTAGGTAAAATATCACCTTGGGCATGTTAAATGCTTATTGTAATGTGGATATTATTCATGGATATTTGATGTAATGTGTTTATAGTGATCTGGATACTGCAAATTTAGGCTTTGGTGGATTGATGGATGATGGATTGATGGCTGTGTTGATTGGTGGATGGATGATGGACGTATTGATTGATGGACGGATTGATTGATGAATGGACTGATGGATGATGGATGTATTATTATGGATGGATGATAGATGTATTGATTGATGGATGAATGGACTGATGGATGCATGGATTGATTGATGGATGGATGGAGTGGCATGGGTTTAGCGCTTTCCTGTGGTCAAAATAAAGGCACTCGACTCTTTTTAAATAGGGGGGGGGGAGTTAATGTTGCTGAAGGGCTCTTGGTCCAAGGAATTGTTGCTACCTTCCATCACTCCACAAATTCATCTCTCTCTCTCTCTCTCTCTCTCTCTCTCTCTCTCTCTCTCTCTCTCTCTCTCTCTCTCTCTTCCTCTCTCTTCCTTCCTTCTCTTCTCCTCTCTCTCCTCTCTTCTCCTCTCTCCTCTCCTACTCTCTCTCTTCTCATCTCTCTCTCCCTCTCTCTCTCTTCCTCTCTTCCTACCATCTCTGCTATCCCTCCTTCTCCTTCCTCCCTAACTACTTCCTCATCCCTGAACCTCCTCTCCCTGCCTCCCTCCTGCCTCCTTCCCTGCCTTCCATCCTGCCTCCTTCCCTGCCTCCCTTCCTGCCTCTCTTCCTGCCTCCCTACCTCCCTTCCTCCTCATCTCCCCTCACTACCATCGACCACTCCATCAGAAATCACTTAGGGGGGAGAGAGAGAGAGAGAGAGAGAAGACATGAAATTAAGACTGCTCTTACCTGGTAAACATGTCGACTGATCTTACTTAGAGACTTAAAAAAAAAAAAACCTGGAGAGAACTTGAGTGAAGAAGACGGCATTTTAAGATCAACTTGAAATTTCAGAGACAGATCGGGAACTTTAGAGAGTCACTTAGAACTTTAGAGACTTTAGAGATAGACGTGGAACTTCAGAAATGAACATGGAACTTTAGAGATAGACTTTAAACTTTAGAGATTGACCTCAAATTTTAAAGATAGACATGGAGGCTTTAGAGATGGACATAGAACTTTAGAGGTGGACCTGAAGCTTCAGGGTCACGTACCTGAAGGTTGCCCTGAAGGGGGAGCACAACACCGCCCCTGACGTGCACGTTCACATCTGTCAAGAGTGTGGGTACCTCTTGATCCGTGCCGTTGGAGCTGTTAGAGAAGAGGGCGCCCGTGTACAAGTTGTACCTGTGGATGATGGAACAAGAGGGTGAACAAGGTGAACGAAACTATGACATTTGACAGGAACAACAAGAGCACTGAGTGGAACACGGACACTGGAAAAACAAGGACGCTGGTAGCATCATGGATACTGGAAACACCTGGAAAGCAAGGACACTAAGAACAGGAACACGGTTAGCAACAAGGACACTAGTAACAAGGACACCAGTAACAACAGGGACACTAGTAGAAACAAGGACACTGGGAGCAACAAGGACTTCGAAAACATCTTGTAAACAAGGACACTAGTAGCAACAAGGACACTCTGAGTAGCAAAGGCGTTAGTAGCCTCAAGGACATTGAAAACCCCTGGAAAACAAGGACACTAGTAATAAGGACATTGAAAGCACCTGGAAGGCATGGACACTACCAGCAACAAGGACATTCGAATAAAAACACAAGGAGAAGCCTGAGATCTCTCTTCTCTCTCTCTCTCTCTCTTCTCTTTGATCATCCCCAGAGACCATTGTGGGGGGAGATATATATTTGCATAAATAATATTTTCGACAAAAGGGTGAGAGGAAAAGACTCATCCATCATTATAATCCGCCAGACTCATCCATCACCATCGTTCGGTGTTCCCTAAGAGATCTAAAAAGAGTGGTCTTTATCGTTGAGTCTTCAAGAGTATTTTGCTATCGTAGCCTCGTAGAGGAGTCGAGAACTATCTAATCTATTGCTACCTCGTAGAACGGCCAAAAAATGTCTCTGAAGTCAGTAGAACTGTCTTTTGTAGATCGTGGAAATAAGAGGAAGTAGGTGTCTATAGCAACTTTTTAGGTGCAAGAACGAACTAGCTATCGTGCTCAAAGAAACAGGAAAACAACCTATCTCTTGCAATTTCTTACGGGCAAAAGTGACTGCCTTATTGCAGCATCTTAGAGGCAAAAGTAACTATCGTACCTCAGAAGGAACTATCAGTCTCTCAGAAGCAAGAGTAACTATCGTACCTCAGAAGGAACTATCACAGTCTCTCAGAAGCAAGAGTAACTATCGTACCTCAGAAACAAGAGGAAATATCTATTGTCCCATTTCCACCTGACGTTAGTATATAAGCGTCAGTCGCCTTGCTTCTGCTTCAGAATCTCCACGACTACGGTGCTCTTCGCACCTACTCCTAGGTTGAGGGACTGATTACCTCATCTTCTGTACATAGTTCTACTATCTTTAAGTTATGTCCTGGAATTTGTATTGATAAAGCCACTGGATGGCGAAACGTCTACAATAAAGATACCCAGATGTTGCACATGTGTCTTAACTTCATCAGGAAATATCTAACTATCGCAGGAACTACGTCCCTAAACAACCTCTTCAAAGCAAGAGGAACTTCTTGAAAAATGAACCAAAAACTTATTTTCATAGATTTATCATCCTCTTTTTGCTCTCATTTTCGCGTGTGAGTGAAAGCCAGCGAGACGTCCCCAAGTCTAATAGAGAAAGTCTGGCGTGACTTTCACCAACCTTAGTGGCGCTACCCACATGGAAAAAGTCTTTCCAAATTGAATTAAAGATACTCTTAAAAGAATCTGTAAAAGACTTGAGTGTCGACAGCGGTGAGTCAAAGGCATGAACCAGATTCTGGAGGAAGAATTCTACCAGATTTATTTAAGGGAAGGATGGTGGTTAATTGAGTTGCTGCAGCCGCCATCGTCAGAGAGGGAGGGTGAGAGAGAGGGAGGGTGAGAGAGAGGGGGGTGAGAGAGAGGGAGGGTGAGAGAGAGGGAGGGTGAGAGAGAGGGAGGGTGAGAGAGAGGGAGGGTGAGAGAGAGGGAGGGTGAGAGAGAGGGAGGGTGAGAGAGAGGGAGGGTGAGAGAGAGGGAGGGTGAGAGAGAGGGAGGGTGAGAGAGAGGGAGGGTGAGAGAGAGGGAGGGTGAGAGAGAGGGAGGGTGGAGAGAGAGGGAGGGTGAGAGAGAGGGAGGGTGAGAGAGAGGGAGGGTGAGAGAGGGAGAGGGGAGAGAGTCCCTGATGCAAAACTCAGGAGAATTGAATTTCTGACCCCTAGCAGGATTTAATCGGATTAAATTTTCTTCTGCTATTTCTAAACTAACGTGATATATATATATATATATATATATATATAATATATATATATATATATATATATTATATATATATATATATATATATATATATATAGGGAGGAACCACTTCTGGAACTATCCTGGGGACTCTCATCCTCAGAGAAAAGAATAAACTTGCTTCAGGGATAACTCGAGGTTATATATATTATTAATATATTAAATTTAAGAGAATAAATGAAGAACTCTACGGACAAACCTTGCCACATTTCACTACCTAATTTACAATTTATGTCAATAATAATTTTGAAAGCGTCTCCACTATAAGAGGAAAATAAAACTGCAATATTAAATTTCTAAATTTGAATCCTTCTAAGCACAGGATATTAAAATTTTATTCACAAGTAACCTGAGTAGGATTTATATGATTCTTAGTTTATTACATGTAACCTCGGTGCCATGTGTCATGACCTCGGTGCCATGTGTCATGACCTCGGTACCATGTGTCATGACCTCGGTGCCATGTGTCATGACCTCGGTGCCATGTGCCATGACCTCGGTGCCATGTGTCATGACCTCGGTGCCATGTGTCATGACCTCGGTGCCATGTGTCATGACCTCGGTGCCATGTGTCATGACCTCGGTGCCATGTGCCATGACCTCGGTGCCATGTGCCATGACCTCGGTGCCATGTGCCATGACCTCGGTGCCATGTGTCATGACCTCGGTGCCATGTGTCATGACCTCGGTGCCATGTGTCATGACCTCGGTGCCATGTGTCATGACCTCGGTGCCATGTGTCATGACCTCGGTGCCATGTGTCATGACCTCGGTGCCATGTGTCATGACCTCGGTGCCATGTGTCATGACCTCGGTGCCATGTGTCATGACCTCGGTGCCATGTGTCATGATCTGAGCTTCATCCTCTGACGCATTCTCTTTATGGGTGACAGAGCAATATAATGTTAGTACTCAGCAGTGATGGTCGGTACTCAGCAGTGATGGTCGGTACTCAGCAGTGATGGTCGGTACTCAGCAGTGATGGTCGGTACTCAGCAGTGATGGTCGGTACCCACCAGTGATGGTCAGCACTCACCAGTGGTGATCAGTACTCACCAGTGGTGGGCAGCACTCCCGAGCGATGGTCAGTACTCACCAGTGGTGGTCAATACTCTCCAGTGGCGGTCAGTACTCACCAGCATCCTGGAGGGAAGTGGATGTGGACGGGGACACTAGTCTCCTCACGCACGGATGTAAATACTGGGGACACCATCAGTCCCTCACCCACCAGGAACTGACTCGACACCCCTCGTGAACCTGGAACCATGACACGGTGAGAGAGAAGAGAGGGGGGAGAGGAGAGAGGGGGGGAGAGAGAGAGGGGGGAGAGAGAGAGGGGGGAGAGAGAGAGGGGGGAGAGAGAGAGGGGGGAGAGAGAGAGGGGGGAGAGAGAGAGGGGGGAGAGAGAGGGGGGGGAGGGGAGAGAGGGGGGAGAGAGAGAGGGGGGAGAGGGGGGGGAGAGAGGGGGGGGACAGGGAGGGAGAGAGGGGGGGAGAGAGAGAGAGAGGGGGAGAGAGAGAGAGAGGGGGGGAAAGAGAGAGAGGTAGACAGACTGATATACTGTTAGATACATGTTTTCAAACATAGGTAACACGGCAGATTGTTACATAAAACAGTGTAACACACACACACACACACACACACACACACACACACAACGAAGAAAATGGAGAAAAAAAAAGAGAAAATAGACACCGCTGAACATGCCACAATTTCAGCTAACTTACTGCAGCAATTTCAGCTTCGCCAGCACAGTTTATGAATTCTGTATTTCTTCCGTATTAAAATAAATTATACATGTGTCAGACTTCTCTCTTAACCGGATTCCTGCCTCCCCCCTTTCCCTTAACCGGATGTTTTCCAGCTCCCGTAACCGGAAAATTTCCTGCTCTCTTAATTGGATAGTCTCCTGTTTCCTTATCCGAATATTCCCCGGCTCCCTTAGCAGGATATTAACCTCGCCTCTCATGAGGATATTACTGATCTTCACCCACTCACCCTCCACCTTCACCCACTCACCCTCCACCTGCACCCACTCACCGAGATCGTGGGGGTACTCGTAGAAGAGTGGTCTGACCACAGGTACGCCTCCCTGGGTGTGGGCCTCATACATCAATGTGTACATGTACGGCAGAATCATATACCTCTGTCTGATGTACAACCTGAAATGTAATATTCGTGTATCAGTGGGCACCTTAAAATATATGGGAGAGGGACGTTAGAATCGTAAGATTAATGCAACTCTCTCTTACACAGGGTTTTAAAAGGATAGATTAAGGATTCCTAACCTTATTTACAAGCTAAGAGCTGTTACCTACATCATCTTATTTAAAAGCCTCTCTCTCTCTCTCTCTCTCTCTCTCTCTCTCTCTCTCTCTCTCTCTCTCTCTCTCAAGGTTTTTACTAGTGTTAGGTTAAGAATTCGTTATCTTTATTTACAAACTGTGAGCTTCTACCTACCTTACCTGGAGTTTACCTGGAGAGAGTTTCGGGGGTCAACGCCCCCGCGGCCCGGTCTGTGACCAGGCCTCCTGGTGGATCAGCCCCTGATCAACCAGGCTGTTGCTGCTGGCTACACGCAAACCAACGTACGAGCCACAGCCCGGCTGGTCAGGAACCGACTTTAGGTGCTTGTCCAGTGCCAGCTTGAAGACTGCCAGGGGTCTGTTGGTAATCCCCCTTATGTGTGCTGGGAGGCAGTTGAACAGTCTCGGGCCCCTGACACTTATTGAATGGTCTCTTAACGTGCTAGTGACACCCCTGCTTTTCATTGGGGGGATGGTGCATCGTCTGCCAAGTCTTTTGCTTTCGTAGTGAGTGATTTTCGTGTGCAAGTTCGGTACTAGTCCCTCTAGGATTTTTCCAGGTGTATATAATCATGTATCTCTCCCGCCTGCGTTCCAGGGAATACAGGTTCAGGAACCTCAAGCGCTCCCAGTAATTGAGGTGTTTTATCTCCGTTATGCGCGCCGTGAAAGTTCTCTGTACATTTTCTGGGTCGGCAATTTCACCTGCCTTGAAAGGTGCTGTTAGAGTGCAGCAATATTCCAGCCTAGATAGAACAAGTGACCTGAAGAGTGTCATCATGGGCTTGGCCTCCCTAGTTTTGAAGGTTCTCATTATCCATCCTGTCATTTTTCTAGCAGATGCGATTGATACAATGTTATGGTCCTTGAAGGTGAGATCCTCCGACATAATCACTCCCAGGTCTTTGACGTTGGTGTTTCGCTCTATTTTGTGGCCAGAATTTTTGTACTCTGATGAAGATTTAATTTCCTCATGTTTACCATATCTGAGTAATTGAAATTTCTCATCGTTGAACTTCATATTGTTTTCTGCAGCCCACTGAAAGATTTGGTTGATGTCCGCCTGGAGCCTTGCAGTGTCTGCAATGGAAGACACTGTCATGCAGATTCGGGTGTCATCTGCAAAGGAAGACACGGTGCTGTGGCTGACATCCTTGTCTATGTCGGATATGAGGATGAGGAACAAGATGGGAGCTAGTACTGTGCCTTGTGGAACAGAGCTTTTCACCGTAGCTGCCTCGGACTTTACTCTGTTGACGACTACTCTCTGTGTTCTGTTAGTGAGGAAATTATAGATCCATCGACCGACTTTTCCTGTTATTCCTTTAGCACGCATTTTGTGCGCTATTACGCCATGGTCACACTTGTCGAAGGCTTTTGCAAAGTCTGTATATATTACATCTGCATTCTTTTTGTCTTCTAGTGCATTTAGGACCTTGTCGTAGTGATCCAATAGTTGAGACAGACAGGAGCGACCTGTTCTAAACCCATGTTGCCCTGGGTTGTGTAACTGATGGGTTTCTAGATGGGTGGTGATCTTACTTCTTAGGACCCTTTCAAAGATTTTTATGATATGGGATGTTAGTGCTATTGGTCTGTAGCTCATTTAAAATCTACCTTTAGCATTATCTTCATTACATTCATTATACAGCTAGGGAATATATCTTATTCACTCACGCGAGCTTTAAGGAGAAGCCTTTGCCTAGGTTAGGAGGGTTCCTGGTGGCGTGTGAGTGCTCATT